AGTTAGTTTTTTGGAAATCATGTATGTATTCCTATTACAGCATATATTATAGGTACAAGCTATCATAAAGTAAATACATACCCTGAAAATAATTTACATGAAATAGGATATWMATAACTTATGTAACATAAGTAATGGGTTTTAAAGAAAACCGCAGCAAATAAAAAAATTGAAAAAAGTTGAACAAAATCAATTGTAATAAATAAGTTTGAATAATACTTGTAAATCTATTCAATATTCATTTTATATTTCATTATTTTTATTTTTTAAAACCTGTATGTAGGCGAAATAAAAATATTGTACGTTGTTTGAGAATTTATTAGTTTACATGTGGATATCGAATGCCTAACTTCAAATGCTCATAAAAAATGAATTACTTTTCGCTAAACTTTTTTTTTGTKAAATTTAGGAAAACTTAAGAAAAATCTTGTATTCAATTTGGATAAAAATAGAACAATTATTTTATAAAATACCTAATTGATTGCTGACCAACTATTTTATTTATTTGTTTTCAATTTTTGTTATTTTAAAAGAAATGCAATAATTTAAATTTTAAAATAGTATGACGTGTTATCGTGTTACTATAATTTGCTAAATTAACTGTTAATTTGTAAAATCTCTTTGGTGTCATGTAATCATGATCCTTATCAAAGCTCCACCCCACGTCTTCTATAACAGCGTAACACACTAACACTTTTTGCCTTTCAGGCTTCAGCATTCAGCCTTATAGTTTTTACTAAACATTTTAATAAGATTATTTTTTTCATAATTATTACTTACTATTTAGTAACATATGTATTAGGTTAAATATTTAWAYATCAATATAAGTAAGAATATTCAATCGTTCACTGTTAATGTTGCGGTTGTAAAATTTGTGAGTTTTTTTTTCATACACATGCTAAATTTTGAGCAATTTTATTTTGAATAATTAGGTGTATAATACAAATAATAAAATAKTTTTCTGATTGAAATTTTGTGATTTCTTTACTAGTCAAATGCTAACTACAGATGGATACAAATATTGGGGTTCTCGAGAATGCCGTCATACAAGTGGTGGTCGAGAGTGTTACACCGGATATGATTGTAGTGTCATACACTGCCATAAATGGGTCTGTTTACCAAGGCATACTGTTGAACAATGTCAAAAGGTAAAATTTGCTTTATTATAAATTTTTATAAATTAAAACTATAATTACATTTGTATGAACTTTTAGGCGTTTTCCATGTGGGAGTGTTCCTATGACAAAACCTCCACTATCGCCCAGAAATTTAAAGACTGAATCTGATAATGACATTTTATATTCTGTAAGTCAACGTTTTACCTATTTTCAAAACACCCCGAACACATTAAAAAAAATYCCCAGTAAAACTAAAAAAGTGAGAAAACCCATGACTGTTCGTCTAAGACCTCGTGAAGTTCTATGTTCAAAATGTAAATCAAATTGTACTGACAATTTAGACAATGTTGAAACCTCTAAAGATCTTGTCAAAAATAAAAATAATACAATTCCTGAAAATAATGGAGAAAAGAGATTATTACGAAGTCATGGACCTGTTCCAGATTTTCCTATAAAATCATCAGATTCTGTATCAACTGTATCTCAAGTTAAATCTATGTGCCGTACCCTGATACCAAAACTTGTTAAAATTAAATCAAGAGAAATAACAAAGGCACTTAATAATTATTCAAAATTTACTGAACTAGATGAATGGGTAGGTAACAAAAAAGACTGTGAAGATGACTGTGATATTGAAGAAAAAATGGTGTTAAGAAAAAAACCTAGCATTGGATCAATGGAAGATTTGTGGGATGAAACAGCATTTGAAGAAACTAAAAAAACACCAATCATAAAAATAACATTTGGATCTCAAGGTGAAGGTACAGTTATGGAAATACCATCTCGTCAAGCTGATGGAGATAGTGAACCAGATAAACTCTTACGTAAAAGGGCAAAACGTAGAAGACAAGATGGAGAAAAAAGAAAAAAACATAAGAAAAGACATAAGGAACAAGAGGATGATTTAGAAACTAATAATTTTTCAATAA